GGCTTCTGGGAAAATGACCTTTTGTGTGTGTGTGTGTTTGTGTGTGGCTTGCGATGGAATAGCATCCCATCCAGGGTGTATCTGCCTTGGTTCAGTCCAGATAGGGTCTGGCTCCCTCGCAACCCTGAATTGGATAAGCGGTTACTGAACGCGAGGGTGAACTACTTCCTCACCCCTTGAGGTGTTGTTCTTTAAACCTTGAAGGTCCTAGAAAATCTGTGAAGACACCAGCCATCCAGAACCAGGATTGGATAGCCCTTTGCTTGGTAAATCAGTTTAGTTCATTTCTGCTCACACATTGATGATTAATATATACCGAATTTAATTATTATTCTGAAGGTTATTTGTTTTGGTTGATGTCACTGTAAACCCCACTCAGAGAAGAATGCAAATAGTAATTTTGAATAACTCTAGAGACCACAGCATTAAGTGACTTTGGAGTTCTTGGCATTGTCTCAGGAGAAGAAATTGAATATCAGTGCTGCTAAGAAGAACAGTCAAATCACACAAATGAGAGGTAATGTGTTGGGTTCCTACAAACTTCTGTAATGGTTAGGACACATCCTCAACCTCAACTGGCAAAACCTGTTGGACAATTCATAGGATTTTCAAACTGTCACAGAAGTCTGTTCAAAGATCTCCTGCATTGTCAGTACAATGCAGATCAATTATAAAGCTTTGTGTGTTTTTAATAGACATCTAGGGTTTAATGTTCCCTATCAAGTTCCCATTTTCAGGGTCACCCGTTGAAATTATTAGGAACACTTCCTGTTACAGTATGTACCAGTCTGCGCCTGTACAGACAACGGTTATGAGCTGAATCACGACTGCACTTTTGTGATTTATCACCAAAAAAAAAACATTGTAACGTACCAAAGCAAAAATGAAACGTTAAATGAACGAAGGTTGATTTTTATTTTAAATGGTTACATGGACAGTTGTGGATTTTTTAATCAAAGTAGCTTCAAAGTACCGCACGGAGAAAATGCCCGGACAAGAGCTTTGCCGGTGTCTTGCCCATCTTCTTTTAAGCTTTGCGTACTCGCCATGAATACACAAAACAGAACGTTTTAATGTATGATAGAGAAAGGGAAGTAGAAAGAACTTGTTAGCCTCAGTTTATTCTTAGAGAGGCCCAGAAGACTAAACGCTGTCCAATCAAGATTTTTACATGAATAGCATTGGAAAACCAAGGTAGAAACTGAAACTACGATGTACTACTGTATATGACGTTAATAAAACAAATAAAGTAAGAGTTATACTTGCTTTCTTCTCTTGAAAGTAATTGTCGTGAATGATGGCGAATAGTAATTTATTGATTTCCACGCAAAAGCAGGCTTGAAGATAATCGGAGTACTGCGTTCTTAGTCTCTTTTGTGATAACTGCACAGTATATTTTTGATATATTGCTTAACAAAAAATCAACAGATTTGATCAAGAGTTTAAATACCGTAGTTATTCAACGGTTCATTTTGTACTAAATACAAAAAAACGAAATACAAAAACTTTCCTTTTGAGCAAACCTTCTTAATACAGTAGATTTAAATTGACGCATTCACAGACGGTTCAGATTTGAGGAATCAGTGTTTCCAATTCTTCACCCCAATTTCATAATAATAAAAAGGTAGACATATATTTGTCTAAAACAAATACATTCGATTTTGGCTCACCTGTTCAGAGGTTCCACACGGGCAATGTCGGAATTCGCCCATCTGTTCATTGCGTGCAAATAACGGTGCCGTACTACATGTACGTCAATATTAATTTTTCAAAAACATATTCGATTTTGGTCATTGCATTTTACGTATTATGTCCACTAGTGTAATTTAATTAGAGTTGTATCATTGTAACTGCAGGGATTTGCGGTCACCTAACATTTTTGTCGTACACTTTCCTGCAGTTATATCCTCTAATTATGAATAAGGACATATATACTGTAATTTTATCCAACACTGACTCACAACTTTATCAAAGCTGAGCCACGTTTTAACACGATCAAAACCATGTTTTTCGAACTACAGGTGTACTGTTTTTTGAGTAATACTTTAGCTTTTCTGAAAGAAAACGTCCTGTACGTTGACAAAGCATACGCTTTCATGCCTCCCAAGGGTGTATCCTTAGACCTCAAACTATACTGTGGCTTTTTGGTATACATTTCCATCTCTGGCAAATAGGTTATCAAATTATTCCATTTTATGGTCCTTTTATTATTACCTGCTCAATTAAAACACGGGTAGAATGCTTACAATGTTGGTAACGCAAACGGAAATAAACTTGTGCTTGTAGTTCAAAAGCACTCGACTTTTTCAATAGAACTAGCACCTTGTAACGTATATTTATTCTTCCACTCATGGAATAAACTAGCATTTAAAAATAAGCATCTCCAGATAGCTAAAACATATTGACTGCAGACTCTGAATAACACAGATCCAATCAATTACATTTTGTGCGCAATTCATAACAGCAGTGAGGATGTTCTCTAAGGAGTGGAACGCTGAAAGTGTAATGCTTGTATATGGGGTTTATAGAGATGATAATCGTCGGCGATGTTTAAGTTACCAAAAACTAGCACAAGTTACACGTAATAGCTTGTATGAATGAATGTGATCTAGGGTGGAGTTTTGGATGTCTGGGGGTGTGGTTATTATTGTGTTATTTTTTGAATGGTTATTTTAAATGTTGGGTTTTGCGCGAATAATTGGAATAAACTATGTTTTCAAAATAAAGGTCTTATGTGGATGGATACGTCTTTTCTACTTGTAAAACTGCGAATGTGTGGTGCTTTAATTAATGTATTTATTGAATGCCACTAGGGTTTTTTTTATTATTGTAAAACAATATAATTTGAATATCTAAAAAATATACTTGAAAACACGGGGATTGTGAAATTAAATATTTCATGTGTATCGTGTAACTGTTTGAGTTAAACTTTACAATAACCTTTGTTATTAAATTATCTATTTGCCTAAACGATGCAGTCAACGAAAGAAACGAAAAGATTATAGCACCACGACAGCTCTTCAATAAAATTTAAAATCACTATTTCGGCGGTACTCCGATAAGAAATACAGAGGACATGTTACTCCCCATGTATGATGTTAAATTATAATTATAACGCAGATTATATAGACGTTTATTTTATAGCAAGACAATAATGCAAAGGATTTTCAAAATTATTTTTCAGCAGATAAGTATAAACGTGCAACAAACGATAAAAGACAGCTGTTTAAATCTAATGTTTAGCAATGTTTTCAGATTTGCTTTAATACGTTAATGCTTTCACCCTTTGCAGTACACAAATAATAGAAACGTTGTCAGACTCGTGAATTAAGTGCTTAAAGATCAAACATCTGAATTCGCCTACACGTAATATATTACCCTATATCCAAAGTGTTCATATCCATATGGTTCTGGGTTCCGTGGGAATGCACACAATTAAAAACAAAATATGGATTTCTGCAGTTGCCAGCGAAAATGCAGCAGGCTGTCAAGGTCACAATGTCAGTGTTCAGACTTCGGGTGCGGTCCTTACCAGACAAATTTCCACCTCAGTGGGCAGATGGAAGCGAGGAGAATTTTAGTGCGCTGATCCAAATTGTTGTCTGGCTCTGGACCTCCACAAGTTAACAAAGACAACTGAAAATCCCTACATAACGTCCACGTATTCATAGAAGGCGCGTAAAATGATGAAGGATTTGCCTCTCGCTCAAAAGTATTGTTTCAAACCGCCTTGTCGTTGTTTGTACCCACTTTGAAAAATGGTTCACGGGGCAATCACCTTAAAAAAAACAAATACTATACGAGTTTCACTTTTCCTTTTCAAGTTAAGAGCCCAAGCACGGGCGTTTACCAACCGATATTAATATATATCGCAGAGGTACAATGATGCGTTTTATAACGCCTTCATCAAAATATTACGTTTTCTTATATGATTTAATGCGTGTGTTTTTTTTCAGGATATTAAAATGGAGCAAGTGAGTTTTTTATCAGTTAATGAAACAAAATGAACACTTGTGTCAATCGGTGGAATAGATGACAATACATGTTTGCACAGTGGATTAAACGAAGAACCCTACTTGACTGGTTGGCTCAATAAAGAGAAAGAATTGTTAATTTCATCCGAGATTATACGGGATAACCTGTAACATGGCATCGTAATGGATTACATACAACGATCCTAAATTGCTGAAAGGGTGTAAAAGCGACCGCTACATTGCTTGTGCTATAGAGCAGAGATATCAGATAACCTGGATCGCCTATGGTTTGATTGCAGACCATACGAGTCCTTTCGAAAGAGAGGATTTGCTCTGAAATCCTGGGAATAAGTACACCATGACAAATGTTGTGCGGGGAGGCGAGGGCACAGAGTCTCACTCGTTATGTCGTTAGGAATAGCAGATTTAATTAAACGTGCTGATACTCACTGAGATACGTGGCGCCCCAAGCTAAAACAGACAGCGACGAGCGAACAAGAACAATGTGTTTAAGTCTCTGGGACTCGAAGCAATCATTGCTAGCCACCGCACAGACAAGGTAGCGGAACTTAACCGAAAGAATGATTTCCAAAAAAAGTTAACAAGCCTTTTGCCCAACGTGAACGCTAAGGTGAAATATTAGAATTAAGTCACCCTTCAATCACCAGACGGCAATCTAATTTAGACATCCTCGTTTTATTTGATTCCTCAACAGGACTTACTAGCTGTTGGGAAACGGTACGTGTGCCTATCTTGCAAATCTCTACGAGCTCGCGGAGCTCCCACTGTGGGTTTTGAACCCGATTTTTTTTTAATGACAAGATTTCATGAAACGCCGATATCGCAGTCTTAATGTATGGCGAAGAGCGCAGCGTCGACATATTCAGAGATAGAATACACATACGTAAAGCTAGGCTTTATTCTATTCTATCAGTTATTGTAAAAGTCTCGTCCAAAGGTGTTGTTGTTTGTTTTTTTTCTACTACGCCAGCCATGCAATAACTATAAAATTAATCCATCAAACCTGTCTCTCTGTACTTCCTGTAAAGAGTTTCTGTGAGCTTCACAAATGGCATTAGCATCTAAAAACCCGAAGACCGGTGACGTCATACCCAAACAGGAGTTAAGGGAAAAAAGCAGAGAAAAGCTAAGTGGGCAAGGAAGTCCAGTTCTCCTCCCCTCCTCGTTCTCAGCTCTTCTCGTAAAAAATACCAAGCTTTAGGCTGACAGCTCAAAGCACTAACTTACGAAGGCCACGAGACATGAAAAATAATTTATGATTGTTTTAATTCATTGTAACACGTCCACCTAGAACCTGCTGGCAACCTGATTTTGTGCGCCGCTCCTGCAGTTTTCCCAACTTTGAGCGGCGGTGTTATGTTCAGAGCATCAGCTCGGCGGTTGCACTCTTCTTCAGACTTGAGCAGCGTTTTTAACTTCAGGAGTTACATTTCAAAACTCCTGTCTGGGCTGAAGGCTGGGATTGTGCTTTTCTAAGAAAAAAAAAAGAGAGAGAAACAGCGACATCAAAAACAGATCCAACGACAGAGAAGTGAACGAGAAAGACATTTCCGGGGAAATTAAGGATTAATTTTCAGGCAATAATATTTCGCATAAACAACTGTCATTCTAACAACGACGTCGGATTTAAAAACAAAAAAGACGGCTCAAGAGACGAATCGCGATGAGCAAACCGGCCGGATCAACAAGTGGGTTTTTATTTATTTTCTAACTGATGTATTACTAAGCGATGTATTGATTAATATTTAACATTATTAACATTATTCAAGCTGTAATTAGTTTTGATGGTACTTAAAGACATTTCACTTAGTTAAACCGCTCAAGCTGACGGTAGTTTTAACTTCGGGTAATTAATTTCATAATCAGACATGTGCATATGCATTAACTTGTCAGTGTGATTGCAGATAGCAGAAAGCAGTAAAAAACTCATTTTTTATGCAGTTATATAAAGTAACAGAAACATAATAAAGATATTTAAATGGGGGAAATACAGCATGGTTATCCTTTGCGAAGGTACCGTAAAATAGCTTAATGGGAAATGGCGATACAAGGACATTGTATTTGTACAGAAAAGCAAAAATACACATACTGTACGATTCGTTCAGAATTTACTTCTTTCATTGTATACATTACCTTGAGTTCAAACTTAGACATCTGAAAAATCTGAAAAAAATTCAGAGCACGGGTTACATCAGAGGTGTAGCAACCCACCGCTGAGAGGATTGCATTTATCCCCATGCTCTCAAAACTGTTTTTATTTTGTACACTGCTTAAATCGATAAAACGTCATTCCGAACAGCTTTATATCGTTATGGGATTTTTAAAAATATGCAACACAACTGTTGTCTTTGTTGAGACGCCAATTCTAGCAACAGGTGATACGTTCTTAGTAGACAGCCGACTTGTTTCACTCTCGTCATGAAGTCATCCGTCTTTTTTCATCGACATTTTATCTCCCGTAATATCGTAAAGCATTTTTGCAAAGCAGAATGTCGTGATAAAAATTGATTAAACACAACTTTTCCCATTTTAAGTAACAACTTCCATCCTCCAGGAGAGGGAACATTTTTAAACAATGCAATTATAATTACAAAATACACTGAATAAAAATAAAAAAATAAAAGTAAAGATATACAGTATGTAGAATACAGGAAAAGTCTACATTTTTCAGATTTTAACTATTTAACAGTTGTAGGAATGCAATTAGATAGTTGATGAACACTTCAAACTCCAACACTTTCTTTATATGGAGTTCATATTTGTACTCCCTGAAATAACTGTTGGCGTGTTTATGATTACATATTGCACTGCAATTATTAACATCAGATATAGGCCTGAACGGTTTAGAAAATGTAAAAGTCAGATGGATTTTAAAAATAACAAAATCTTTTCATCATTGTGGGATACTTTCTTCTAAGGTGATTTGCGTATGAAAATACTTAATTTTAAGTATTGAAAGTTTTACTTTTACAAATAACATTTTTTTTAACTGTCTTCCTCTAGATGTTTGCTCTACTTGACATTTGTCATGATTGGAATTTTAAGATCAACCCATATCTAAGCAGAAATGTGTATCTACTTTAACTTTCACATAATCACATAATCTAAATTGATCACATAATCTAAATTGCTTTAGTATTGAGGGTGAACTTAATGAAACTTTTTTTTTAAATAATCTCTTTCTGTTGTAACCAAACAAAAGACCACGTCTACTCGCCTAAATATTTTCATTTGGTTATGTATCGTCAACATCAAAATTAATAACAATAACATTTTAATTTCATACGAATTGTCTTTTCAGTAAAATGGCATATGTATGTAAACTAAACCTTACTTATATTCAAAGAATAGGGTTTTTCAGAAAAACAAAATGCTACCATTAAAATAGATGCAATTATTAATTCCACTACAACAAGTATAGGTTACATTTTTCAGGAAAAAAGTACAGCAGTATCTTGGTTTATACACTTTCTGCTTGGGTGGTAAAAACCGTTCCTCACAGCCTCTCAAATTCAAGCTAACGTCTTTCAACAGCCTCTGAGGTTGATGGTAATTACAGTAATAGAATATGCCATATATCTTTAAGCAATTATGACACACAATGAGTGGCTTGGGACTCCCTGCAGAGAGAAGTTAAAGACGCTTTCCCTCGCTGAATAAAATTGTGGTTTATTTCACTTTAGTCTTCTCTAGACGAAATCAGTCGATTCCAGTTTTTATCTTTTTAAAATTAAGCTAAATTGTAAACAATTAGATGTGCTCAAGCAGTCTTTTACGTACTGTATGAATAAACGCAGAAAAAAAGTGTTGGAAACACAAATAGCTGTGCTAAAATGGTTATTTCTGTAAAGAATTAAAGAATATGTAATTAACATATAACTTATTTTCAGAGGCACCAGTATGTATTAAGGAGTCGTTTGGTAACGTAACTAGTTTATTAGTTTGTCAGTAATAAACATATCTTAGAATATTTTTCCATTTTAAATAAAGTATACGAATAAATTATTTAACATAAATACAATTACTACAAATGTTTATTTAGGTTGTTCTTTAGCTTAGATGGAATTAATTCTTTTCCTGAGCAAAATTGACACATACAAAAATTGTGTTTCCCTTTCTGGGTCCAACAAGTGTTTTTTTTTTTTTAAGCAAATAATGGTTTTGGAATCCAGAGAGAAATTTTACAACAAAGGATTGCCTACAACCCTACCAGTGTAACCTCCTTGTCATTTTTGTATTTACGTTATTGATATGCGTACGTATGCTCTTTAGAAAGCATATACAGAGCAAACGCTGTTTAATTATGCCACATCTTTATTATCAAGAACGGTCACTTCTGTTGTGAGTCAAGGCACAAGTAACGTGCAGCTAGCCAGGAATAAGTTCAAAACTACATGCAGATAACTGCAAAGCTCACAAGCTAAAGTCGATTGCTTTTCCCTGTCTTGATCAGGCCATATCCGAATTCCCATGCTACCCTTTTTGACGGGTCACTGGTAAATCAATAGGCAGGTGGCAATATGTCATTGTAATTACATAGTCGCCAAAATGTTATTATTGCTACAATTATTATTATTCTTGAGCAACGTTAGTCATCATACCAATGAACATCGTAAGTAAAAAAAAAAACTTCATGATCTATCCTACTTCATATGCATACGCAATTTTGCCTCCTTTTAGTTTGTGAACAGAAATCGTTTCTATTATTCCGATTGCTATGTCACTCTCTAATCCCCAAGCCTATAGACCTGTTGTATAAGGCAGCTGTCGAGTTTCATTATAAAGCGAGCTGGCAGCTTGTCGAGATGCAGGCAGTCAGACGAGCTTCAATGGGAAAATCATTAAGTTAACACTTTCTCTAATGTCTCCATTGTCTGCCCTGAAACATTGTTTTAGAGTCCCGGAATATGACGCTAGCTACCATACAAACGACAATTCGAGACATTCCCATGGACAGAACGTTAAGTGAGGAACATAATTCAAATTATTATAATGTTGTTTTTTAAAGGGTTGGAAAGATGACTATGAAACTTTCACACGCGATATTTTTTATTTGTCTGCCTGCATATAACCTATACATGTTAACATTTTTTTTTAGTTTTAAAACCGCCTTTTAAGACGTTAAAGTTTACCACACTCATCTCCGTAAACTCCGAATTACATGAACGGCTTTTGTCATTATACAGTATGAAATCGTCATCTTAAATATACAGTATCAAGTTTAACCTTCCTAGGAAACACGTTCTCCCAAAGACTGCATTAAAAATCGATTTTCTTTAATATTCCAAAGTGAGCTTTAACATTAAGCAGCTAATTTACAGTACATTATAAATGCAGATTTACAAGATTGTTTAAACAGTTTTGAAGAAAATGCATAGAGTGTTTAACTTTGATGTGTAAAATTCTTCGCTAAAATTACGGCTTTAATTTAAAAGATGCGGTATAGTAAACAAGCAAATAGCCTTCTCTATTCTTAAATATTTTTCTGTATTATTTTTGTAAGGTCGTATTCTGGACATTCCATGTAAAGTATGCGGAGACAGGAGTTCGGGCAAACATTATGGCGTTTATGCTTGTGATGGCTGTTCTGGATTTTTCAAGCGAAGCATCCGCAGGAACAGAACCTATGTCTGCAAATCCGGCAATCAGGTATTCTTTCTTAATTGAATTTAATTAAATCGCTTGGGGTCAACATATAAGTTATACAATTTCTAACCTCATGTACCCATGTAACAGGTATTTATTTAAGGGTACTAACAAAGGCATGAGTACAGTGTATTGCTTAGAACTATAAAATCTTAAATAACATTAACCAAAGACCAACAAAGGCATTCCTTCCTTCATTTTATTGAAGGTGTTTACGCATTTAGATGCTGTTGTTAAATCGGTATGAATTCACGTTTAAGTACAATATTAAGCCTTTGTGAGGGAAGCTGTTCTTAGTGCTTGGAATACAGAGGACTCTCAAAACTCAGCCGATGCAGTCTGCGGACAAGAAGGTGGCGCTGTCTTAGGTGCTGAATCACTCTGTTAAAGGCATATCCAGCTCGCCCTTTTAATGATGATCATGCCTTTTGAAACTTCTTTTGTTTTTTTAACATTAATATACAAAGCACCCTTGTCTTCGTTCGATGAGCATATTTCGTCTTAAGGTCATAAAGCATTGAAATAACACCAGCTGTCTACAGTTTGGCTATTGATATGGTCTTTGTAACGCTAAGTAATTTGGCCAATGGGATCTCACGCAATCTCAGGGGATTTAAATTCTTGGGAGTTAAAAAAATAATCAAGGTGTTGTCTTACAGCGTACAGATTTGTTCTCATTTATGGACGGTAAGACCATCACAGAAAATTAAATATAACGAAATAAAAATCCTGCGATTAATCTTTTATTTTGATCTAATTGATCATATAATCTGGTTTTAATGGGATAAATTAAAGATAATCCATTCAGGATGAAGTTAAAAAAAATTAACTTTAATAATGCTTGTTTGTTAACAAATTTTCTAACACAGCCTTTGCGTTAATGTAATTATAATGACCTGTTTCCCCTGTCGTAGGGAGGCTGCCCTGTGGATAAAACGCACAGAAATCAATGCAGAGCCTGCCGATTGAAAAAGTGCCTTGAAGTAAACATGAACAAAGACGGTAAATGAAGCTTCATTAAACCAGCATCCGTTCTTTCTGCGGTTTTATTGATACTGAGTTAGGGCAAATATAATTAATCCCAAATATTTACAGAAAGCGTTTAGTCTGATCAAAAGCTGCAATTTACGGATTGCTTTTTTAGACCCACGTGTATCTGAGACAGAGGCGTTTAATCCCTTAGAAGAAAACAACTTTAGTTGTGCCAAAGATACGCTCCACGATATTTCAATTGAAGTGCCTATTTCCGAACTGAGGTATTGCGTGGAATACATATATTTAGTCTTATGCATAATCACATTTCCCGGACAAGAGCTTGGTCGTCTTTCATTGCTGGGAAATAAAATGAATTCTCAAATAGGAACGACCTTTCTCACGGCTGTATCGTATCGTATCAATGGATAGTTAATCGATGGCCTGCTGTGAGTCCCAACCGGAGAGCCTTGGCGCTCATCTATTTCGAATAACCCTACCTATGTGATACCAAAATTGGCTCAAAAACGTACACAGAAATATTTTATTTACATCACAACATTTTGATACAAACCTGTAAGGGTTATATTTTAGCTGGAGTAATTGCGGGAAATGGATCGATATTTGTCATTTAGAAATCACGTCAGGAATCTAGAAGACCGTCGACGGAAAGGAAAACTCCAATATGGCACTGCAAGAGCAAGACCTCTTTTTGGCAATGAATAAACTTCTGTGCAGAGCAAAAAATGTAAAAACGTTTAAATGTGTACAACATACAGTAACTGCGCTTTACCGTTAATATTTTCTCTTCAGTCTTGTGTACCATCTCTACCATTAATTCTAAAAAAACATTGTATTGTAATTTATTGTAATATGACTGTACATACCATTAATATAACGGTACATACTGTATGAATGTGATTCCATGTAATTACATTTTTAAGCATTTTAACAAGGAAGTTCAGCTACAATCTCTGGGTTTAAATCGTTATTTCGAACAGCAAAGGAAAATACCTTCAACACTGCTATATTAAAAGCAGAGTTTTTTGGACGGACTCTTGCGTATACCAAATACATCGTTGTATCTTAAACGAGAAGCAAATTGATTTCACATCGTTTTTAGTGTATCGCACATGGCGGAACGCCAGCTAGAAACTTTTATTCTTGCGCATTTTTTTGTGTAATCTATTGTTTGAAGTTTTTTTTTTTACCCGTTAATCTGTTTTAACTCTCAGCCGTGCAACACGAACGGGGACCCAGGACGTCCACCATCCGGAAACAAGTAGCTCTGTATTTCAGAGGACACAAGGAGGTGAATGGAGCGTCTACCCACTTTCCCGCCTCGTCCATCCCGGGGCCAGCTTTCTTCACGGCGGTTACACAACTGGAGCCGCATAATCTCGAGTTGGGCACTGTTTCCTCCACCCCAGAACGGCAGGCTATCGTGGGACTTGCTCAACCCACCCCAAAGGTGAATGAAATGTCCGGCCATTGTGTTTTAACAAAGTCTATTTTTTGGTGAACCTGTGGAAGTTAGCCCATATGTGTATAGACATGTACGCCCGTCGACCACAACTTTTGAAAAATGTATTAACTCTCAGAAATAGCGGTAAGTTTTTTTTCCTGCGCTCCGGAAGAGTGTATACTGTAATAATAATGGATAGATTAAAAAAAAAAACAGAGAAAAATACATTTGTTTCAATAGTTACGAGGTAACTGGTAGTGATACGAGGGGTATTATATAAAGTGATTCTGTTACTCATTACTCGTTAAAAGGTTGGTGAGCTGGCCAATAGCAATGTGCAGCCTCTACATGCTACTATGTTTTTCATTTTAGTATCCACACGAAGTCAATGGGACACCAATGTACCTTTACGAGGTGGCCACGGAATCTGTCTGCGAATCAGCTGCACGACTTCTGTTCATGAGCATCAAATGGGCGAAAAGTGTCCCAGCATTCTCCACATTGCCCTTGCAAGACCAGGTGGGATTTCAAGTGGAGAAACTATCTACAGTTACCTGGTCGTAAACAAGAAACACAGCTTTGTCTGAAGGATTACTGCTTTTTGGTGATTTAAATTATTTACAGTTTAATATAAATAACATGCCATGCTTCTCGTAGGAGTAGTGATATACCCGTCGTAACAATAAGCCGTAAACAATGTTTTAAAGATTTTATTGAAAATATGCGTTGGGAACGACGGCAAAGATGGTTAACTTTGTTTTCCCATCAAACATAGCAGTATAATGCACTTCTAAGAAACCATTTAGCCGCAGCAGAAAAAATAATGTGTTATTAATTTTCAAAGTTTACTCTTGTTAGAAGCAATAGGAAAGCGTACTTTTTCAAGTGACGACATTTTACATCTGAATATTTCGGATATTATTCTTACATACGGAAATCATTTCACCTTTGCATAGCGACATTGCGTTTGTATATAATTTTGTGAGCTCCGTATATGATTGTGAATTATCATTTGCCTTGCAGTTAATTTTGTTAGAAGATGCCTGGAGAGAACTGTTTGTTCTAGGCATAGCGCAGTGGGCGATTCCAGTTGATTCGAACACTCTCTTAGCCGTTTCTGGTACGTACTTTCAAAGACTCCAATAAAAATCATACTTTTATATTTTTGTGTAAATAATTAACATTAAAATGTTTTGTTAAAAAGGAAACAAACAAAGAATAGCACATTCCTAATGAACAATGGAATGTACCTGTCATTTATAAAACCACATTTAAATGCAAATAACGTTATTTTGTTGCATTCATTACAGCTTTTTAATTGTTATTTAAATGCAAATAGCCAACGCAGTGGCAGTAACGTTTTTTTTTTATTGTGGAGCGTTGTTGAGTGTGTGGATTTCCTTTAAAAATATGGATGCAATGCAGTTTTTAAATGAAAATTTTAAAATGGGTTTAAAATGAGAGATGATTGATCTTCTTTGTTGTTGCTTTATTCTAAGGCATGAACACAGAAAACACAGAATCCCAGAGATTAAATAAAATTATTTCAGAAATACAAGCTCTTCAAGAAGTTGTCGCCAGGTTCCGACAGCTGCGACTAGATGCAACTGAATTTGCCTGTTTGAAGTGCATTGTCACTTTTAAAGCTGGTGAGTATACAGTATGGCTGAGAGGTTTTCGCAAGGGGAAAGCTGAATGTCCCAACAGCCCATTTGATGTTTTTCCCGATATTGTTTAAAAGAGATTTTAAACAATATTGCATTTTTAATTTACATTTTTACACATAAGTTTCTTTATAGCCACAGAAAAATATAGTTACAGAATGAAATGAATACATTCTTTGAATATTTATACCATAGCTAATGAAAATCCTTAAAAATTATATTTAGTCAATTCCGGCCTTTATGATACATATTTACCGCCTTCACGTTAGTAATTCAGAGCTGTTTTCTAAGGAATTCGGGTAACATTATTCCGGTTCTAGAACAAGTAGACAAGTGAATATCAATTACTATATTATTCTCGACTTTTTCTTCTAATTAACTTCTTCTATGAAAACCCATTATCAACTCGTGTTGCGTGGCCGTGCCCCTTCACTTTAATCCAACCTTGTTTCCCCGTATCTGTGGGTTCGTTCTCATTATGTTTTTATTTATTCCTACAAACTCGACTCAAGTGAAGCTCATAATGAGGGTAAGAATTGACCCAGAACCAATATTTTTGGCAGTCCTAGATGAAAAAAAAATACCCAAACATTTTCCCTCTAGGAAAACGGCGTGTGTTTGTCAGGACTTACTAAGTTTTGTGCGAGTTGAGAGAACAGTCGAGCCCGCTCTCTAACCTGTTGCGCTGTGTGGTGTTGCAGTGCCCACTCACAGCGGTTCAGAACTGAGGAGTTTCCGCAACGCTGCGGCGATTGCAGCGCTGCAGGACGAAGCGCAACTGACACTCAACAGTTACATCCACACCAGGTAAATAAAAACAAATCATTTTCACTCTGGGAAAAAACGGCATGTGTTCGTCAGGGGTTTTGTGTGAGATGGGGAGAAGATGGGTCGTATGTATGACGGGTTCTCCAGGTAAACAAAATTGTCCTCTTTATTTTTCTGATTTTTGTTTTATTTTGAAACCAACATACAACAAAAAAATGACAACAACAAAAAATCCCACCCGCCTCACTGGCACTGTCCACTTTACCGCGTAAGAGCCCTTCATGTTATAGGAAAGTGAGAAAAACGAAACCACAATGTTGCGTTACGTTTTCTCTGTATGTTTGTGTCGGGGGAGGAGAAAGGGGTGTAGATATGGATACTGGTTGTATCAGTTTTGTAACCATTAACTTATCCAGCGAGACTGTTGAGCCTGTTCTCCATATTAAAATTCACAACTTCACATCCTTTGTCTGTACAACGAACCAGAAACTTTTGTTTGTGTGTTTATGTTTTAGGTATCCCACCCAGCCATGTCGTTTCGGAAAACTACTCTTACTTCTGCCTGCTTTGCGATCAGTGAGTCCTTCAACGATCGAAGAAGTGTTTTTTAAGAAAACTATTGGAAATGTGCCGATAACACGACTGCTTTCCGACATGTACAAATCCAGTGACATCTAAATGCGAACTTTTTACGGGGGGGCTCATGTCTCCCGATAACCGTTTGAATCGTGATATCTCTTTTCGCTCGGCACTATTTAAAGAGAATGCTGAACCTCCAAGGAACAATGTAAGAGCACGTTAAAAAACGAAGCTGCCAGAATTTGAAAAACACCTCTCCAGCCAAGCACCGCATATCCGTCCTGAAGCAGAAACTGGGGAAGGGGTTCTGTCGGACAAAACAGAATCAAAACAGGACATGATTTTATGACGTCTACTTTCTAAAAGCATCGTGCTTCGACTTAAAAGATAATTCAAGGATCTTGATTGTAACTGCGCTTTTACGGTTTACGTTTAGTCTTCGAGTATCTGCGGATGTAAAGGTTTATACTTTCAAGTAGCCTGCGGGGTTACTCTAATCGGAGGTGTGTAATCATTAGCTGTTTATAGTAGGATGTTGCGTCTCAAAGACGTGAGCTTTACGATCAGTGTATGTTTGCAGTGTGCAGTCTGTAATTCGCAGAAGAAACCAAACGGATGAGAAAGTGGTCGAGACTGGTTGTCGCTGTCCCTGACACAGTGCTGAAACCAAAGGCCACGACACCTTGAGGGCGCGGGCTGACCCCACGGAGACCTGCTTCTCGGCGCGCAGGGATTTATACAGATATTTTGAGGACAGGCTTGACTTCGCAGCTCTCGCTCTTTTCTGTCCTTGCGTGTGCAGAATTTGAGTGTATAAACTCGGCCGATAAGGCTGCTGCTGGCGAAAGTAAGAACTTGTTTTCTAAAGGACCGCGGAATTACCGCCTTCTCGTTTCTGTTCTGGCGGCGTTGAAACTCTTGTTCTGTAAAGTAGACACTAACATCGAAACATTCAGCACTTGGATTTTTTATAGAATGTATAATTTTTCCTGTTGTAAAAAGTGAAGTTTTAATTTTGTGAAAGTTGTACTGATATATATTATTAGAATAAATAATATTCAATTGGATGTACCGTGATATAATTACTTTTTGTTTGTGTTCTTCAATTATTTAAAATATTTTCAAAAAGAATGACCATATCTAAAAGGATTGAAATACAATTATTTTTACGTATAAGTTCGTGTTTTCACAATTTAAGTCTAGAGGAGGCTAGGTTTGAAACGAATCAAGATAAGGACAGTTAGATTTAAAATGAGATATTATACGGGATGTGTCTGAAACTGATAAACACGAGTGCAAGTCGTGGGAGCTACCTGTTTATAAATGGGTACTTTCTGTACCACAGTACAGTGCTCAAAACCATGAAGGAACTTATTCAACAAACCACTTCCCAAGCCTCTGAGAGTTTTTTTTAACAGAATCAAGGGCTTCAAAATGAAGGATGAACTGAAGAAAGATGATAATAGATAATACAGCGAATAAAACAGCTACATCAAAAGGCACAGCAAAATTAATTGTACATTTCAAATGGCTAATTAACCCGAAAGATTTCAGTGTATCTATTTTCTTCTCCTCTTCAAAAATTATACAAAAGTGAAAAGAGGTACAATATGTAATCCAAATTAAATTTAAGTAGTCTAATAAGTACTGCAACATTTAGGCCACAGGAGCAATAAAATATAGGCAAAATATAGAAAATTTAACTTCATACGTGCTTGTACCTTGTTATACTGTATGTATTGTGCTTGGATTACGTTGTCAAATTGTGCTTCAGGAATCCAAATACAAATCATAGTAAAGTACAGCATTTCTTATTTAAAATATTCAGAGTTTGGAAAAAATATTATTAACCACAATGTACGACCAGTCCAGGGAAGGAAATAAATTGTCACCACATTTTAAAAGAAGGACAATGTATTTAAATGATGGTGTTTTCCTTTGCATGAGCCTTTGTGAACCTTACTTGGGAGCACAGAACACTTGTTGTATATCATTTGTCATACAAAGAAATGTTCTCTTTTTTAAAGTTACGAGAGATAAGATAGTTTCAAATAATCCTCTGTTTCATTTTCACAAGATCTGTGCATTGGCAGTATAGTGACAATTTCCCACTAACTTTCAATCTATTCAACTGTACACCTCCAGCAAAAAAAAAGAAAAGTTTTTGACTGATACCTACAAACATCCACTAGGACCCCGTTATGGGATTTATTGGCTGGACAAACTGAATAAAACACATTCTATCTAATTAGCGTGATAGGAATCTTCACCAAACCAGTAACAACGAAACATAACTGATACATGTTAATTCCCCTGACAGTACGTAGTGAATAGATATGCTACCTCCCAGCTCCTAGCTTTTGGTTTTGATTTTTGACTGGGGAGGGACCTTTATTTTGGAGGTCGACGTGATCCAGATCTGAAAAGTCCTGTAAGCTATTAACCCACACTACCTTGTCTTAACCTTCAAACAAAAGGCATGAGCTGGGGATACAGATAAAATTAAGTTCTTGGGCCTGAAACACTTCAGAAAGCAAACAGAGCCACAGATATTACAGTTGTGCAATGCCAACCCTTTTGGTTATAAAGAGGTAGTGCTCTACAATGTACGGTAATAATGTTTCAGCACCCATATTTGTGCTCTTATTTCTTGTATGCAAAATGCCAAAAAAATGTTAAATGCGGTATGATATCTGTTCTTGATGAGGTTACATTTGCAAAGGCCTGATGCTTACACACATCAGGAAGACAGGGACACTGCTTTTATTCTGCTGGGAATATTGCTAGCAGGAATATTGTAACTCAATGTCACTGGGGCATTTATGTTTGACCACTAAACTCCAGGAAACACAGGGGTTTGATGGATCCACAACTGATCAACCATTTCTAGCAATCTTGGAGTGACTAAGGAACAGTCTAGGGTAGTTAAGAACTGTGGTTGCTAACACAATTGGGCATCACAGAGATCCATTTACAGGCATAATGAGCTGTTACTTGGCTGCAAACAACAACATGGACTACAACCCTCTAGTACTGGCAAAGAACTCTCACATGATTCCCAATTTACTCATTCTATCACAGTGCAGGAACACAAATGTTTCACTGAGATTGGACTAAAAGAAGGGCACTTCTTTAGATAATGGTAGTGCAATGTGCAGTATGACCTGGCATTAATGGCAGTCCTAGAGCTACATTACACAGTTCTCTGCTGACCACATGTTGACATCAGTAGTTCTGTTCTTAAAGCAACAATGTCAGTGTAATCCCTGACTCTTTCAAACACAATAAAGCTTGTCCCCGCAAGGCAATGCTTACTGAAACTTTTCTGCTTCATTCTGGGACCAATTTCCCTCTCTGCTCTGCTGAAGTGTCAAAGCGTAGTCTAACCTCCAGAAATACTGACATTAGTGAACAGAAAAGTATTATTATTGCCTATGCCAATCCATACAACACTTTGCTTTCAAGTTAAAGATGTACTGTACCTGTTATTGATAATGTTGGTAGGAAGAGGTCCCCTAAATGGACCATGTGACACACACTACATATGAGTTTGCCAGAAATGAGTTTACAAATGATGGAATGATTTCAGAGACAAAACTCTCCACAATAAACTTAACTATCAAATCTGATGGCTGTCTTAATCTTCACTAGAGTCAACACAACCGAATGTTCACAAGGAGGGGTTTTATAATGTAACATTCATAAGGCCACATGCACAGCTGGAAGCTTGTTGTGTTTGGAACATCTATATAATCTAATAAAAAGTGGCTTGTGTTATATAATTGGAATACAAGTCTACACATTTAATGCTAATTAAAATGTTCTATGTACAGTACAATGCTCTGTGAAATGATAATTTACTTAGCTTTCACACAACAATTACTTGAGTTTTCTTACTATAATGAAAATGACAACTTGATACTGATCCAGTATCATTATACTTCTAGTTTTATCGACAGAACGAAAAAAAAAATCCCTGTCCTCAAGGAGAAAGCGAGGTTTCTCTGTAGGGCTGCTGGGCTTACTCTCCATGACATGGTGAGGAGCTCGGCTATCTGGGAAGACCCTGGAGTAGAGTAGCTGCTCCTCTGGATTGAGGGGACCCGGCTGAGGTGGTTCGAGCATCTGGTGAGGATGGGAGCATCCCGCTGGAGGTGCACTGGGCACGACCCACTGGGAAGAGGGTAAGGGTTAGCGTTAGGGGCAGATCCAGGACAGACTGGAGGGATTATATCTCTCAGCTGGCCTGGGAGCACCTGGGAGTCCCCCAGGAGGAGCCTGGGGAACAGAAAGTCTGGTCTGTTCTGCTCAGCCTGTGACCATTGTGACTCTCACAAGGGGTAAGCCATTAGGAAATTATGATGATGATGATGATGATGATGATGACAATAATTTTCCATTTAAAATCATTTGACTATTCTGACTTGGATGTTACCTAACATAACCCAACAAAACATCTGTTCAGAATTACTTTTCAAAAGTGGTGCTAATACCAAGAAAATAAAACAACACTTTCACAATCACGGCAGCATAAAAAGGACGTAAAAAGTCCCCCTACCTCCATTTAATGTGTTAAACTGTGGAGTTGCATCTCCAGAGTGTGAATGTGAAGGCTGAGCATGGCGTAAAGGAAGAACTTGTTTATTCTTAGAATTTCGGCCATACGGAATAAACAGACAGGCATTCAAGACAAGGCACTGTGAATGCCTTTGAGCAACGTGGTCCAAACGACCAGATGAGTGAGATGAACTGATTTCTCTCTGTTCCTTTGAGGGGTCAGCTTAAAAAGCGTAAGAAAGAAAAAAAGAAAAACACCAGATAAATGACAGCGAAATGACAGCACAAAATTCCCATTGGGAAAATATTTGTGTCGGAGCACAATTAATATATAAATACCTTATATTTAACTTGAAAAAACATTAGAATACAAATCCAATAAAAATTTAATGAAAATGGTTAAAATACTATAGAAATAAAAATGAAAAACAAGTTTGTTCACATCTATATCTTTTCATATGATTTGATCTAAATATTTTCACTTAGGTGCATCTGTAAAAAGGTATTAAAATAGCTTAACATGGAATGAAACAGGCAACAAGATAGGACTATAAGATATACAATACGGTCACTAAAAACATCATATCTTACCATTTCAAATTCTATGGCCTTTCCTAAAGAATAATTAATATTGCATCTAAAAGTAAAAAGCTTTGAAAATCCAGCATGATTAATATTGGGCTGATTCACAGCAACTTAAAACCAGTGAAGAAATCAAAGCCCCACTTCATTTCAACAACCAATGGAGTTTCACATTCACTCCCCAGTTAGGTCAACACAGTTCCCATTGTGAACACAAAAGAGGAAAGAGGACAGCAGACAAGCATGCTGAGAAATATTGTTCTCACCAGAAAGCAGCGCCCAGCTACTTCTGAGAAACATGCTTTCTGCTTTTTAATTATTTTTCACAAAAAAACCTCACATTTAGCTCACTTGTGCTTCATTATGACATTATGAGCATGTGAACTAAAAATACTGTCCAAGTGCAAGACTAGCCAAGACCCTTCATAGAGTGTTCTTACATTTTGATGATATCATCTTTTCTCATAGACTAGCTCTGCATATCAATGAAGGGCTTCATTCACTATGTATTATGTGTGTAGGACAAAATTATTACAGATCCCATGAAGCCTATCATCTATGTTAAATAATAAATGCAGATTTTTAAAAGGATTTTATCACACTTAAATTTAAATGCCTGTGCACATAAATCAATATGGTATTCCTGTAGTAAACACATAAAGGCTACACAATCTCCTTGAACAAGTTAAAAAACATCATAGAACAATTTATGGATTGGATAGTTTTACTACAAAATGCTAAGAATGAGGTAAGCTCAGAACCGTAACATCAATAGCATTGAAGAGAGCAACTTCAAAACTAACATCAAAAGCTTTGAACCATGTCATATTTGTCATAAATCGTCAAGTCCAGTAAAATGAGGCTCACATTTATTCCCACCTCTGTAATAAGTGTTTTGTAAATCCTCTTCTGGCAGGGATTACACTGACACGATGCCTCCTGTAAAGTGCTGTGTGGTTGTGGCACTTCAGAGGGGGAGACGTTTGACCATTCCTCCAAAGAGAATTGCTCCACGTCCTTCAAACCCTTTGCTTTCTGTTGTGGGAAATTCTTCATTGGAGGAGCAGGACACAGTCTTGTACAGATATAGTTTTGATTGAGCAGATATAGTTTTTATACAGCAACGCGCGTTGGGTCTGCCCCACACAACAGACACACCGCAAGGGGTCCCCGACTCTTATTCAGGCTGGGAAAGGAGTCTGTTTCACAGCCTGAGTGCTTCTCCTGTTGTTTGATATGAAATGACGTCTTGTTCTTTCCTTTGATATATAACAGAAGATAAGATGTTTTGCTTGTCTTGTTGCCTGCAGGTCTTTGAGGTCTTGTCCTGTTTGCTCTGTCCTTTGATATGCAACAGAAGTTGATTTGTTTGTCCTGTTTTATGGTGTGTGTTTGTCAGTGTCCTGGGAAAGAAATGAGTTGCCGCAGTGGCTGCTTTAATATTTTGAGGTTAAGTAGCCATATTGAATAGCTAGGTATGTGCTATATTTATTTGTCCCACTTCACTTTCCATTAGTGAGCTGCCATTTTGAGTTAGAATCACAAATGGTCACTTGGATTGAGGTGTGGAGACTACATCATGAACATTTATTGATTGTGTTGATTGTGCAGTAAATTTTTTATCAATTTGGGAGTATACTTTGGATCAAGCTGGACTGTCCATTTTGTAGCTACTGAGCTTCCTGGAAGATGGAACTGGGTGTTTCACCCAAATGTCCTGGTACATCTTAAAGCATTAGGACCCATAGATGCAAATGCTGTCTTAAACACAATAGACTCTGCTCTCTTTTCACATTTTGGGTATGAAGGTGTCCTAAACTTATCTTAACCATTTTCATATTCACAACACTGGTGAGTCTTTTCAAAAAGCTTAATTTGATCTGGCCATAAGACATGGTTTCCTGCTGGAATTCTGATATATGGCAAACTGGAGTCCTGTTTTGTGATTTTGCATTTTACACACTTTGTATTTTGGAAGATGGTGGTGTGCATTTCAGACAGTGAGATGCCACCCAAACCACTTCTTTCACAGCCTGAGGTGGCAAGATAGATTTGAGCTCTCTTCCTAGGAGGGTGGCCACTTTGCCAATAGCCTTAAATGTCTTAATAACGAACACTACAGAGGAAAGTGCCAGATTCATCTTATTGACGACTTCTTTAGCCCCCTTTCAACTTGTCGAGGTCATTGGCCATTCGCCTGCAATCTTCAATGAGGTCTCCGGCTTAACCATGATGATGGACACTGCTGCTGAATCAGTTCTGTGTCTCTTCCTAGAAACCTTTGGAGGCCTCTATATACCGCATAGTTTCAGGCTTCCATTGCACATAAAGAGAGATGGATGCTATGGAGATGTGACTTTGATGGATTTTTTTTAAGGTGCAAATAAATGTGACTTTTGTTTTCTGGAATTCAATGAATCCTGACAAATATGACATTGCTCTGTGCAATGTTTTTTTAAAATATTTTTTACTTTGCAAGAGACATTCTCTTTTTTAACCTCAATTTATTTAATTGGGGGTATGCTCTGTCGGGCGCTGTATATATTGACAAAATCAGGAAATAAACACAACAAATACATTTTTTTGTATTATTTAAATATTTGGTATTATTCAAAAAATACCAAAATAGCATTCATAGATTCTGACGTCATGCAATATAGAATACCCCTTGTTTATTATTTTCAATAATTGAATCTTCTGAGCCTTATGAACACACTCATATTTTTTGCTTAATATTAACCAACTTCCTTTTACTATGAAGCAGTTCTGGTGATGTGTTAGCAGTTAACAGTTTGAAAACCATTTCAGAAATAGGTGCGATAACATCATTGTTTAAAAAATAAAAAGCTAATTGAGTTTTATGTTTCAGAACCACTTGCGGCATGTTCATTTATTCCACCTTCTCGGCATCTGAGATTCCAGCTTTTTTTCCCCCAATTGTGCTCAACTGGAAGTCTGTACGACTTTGTCGTTGATTGTAAGAGCAAACATCAGACAACTAAAAATGCTAGTGGACACAAGACTAGTAAAGCTGAATTGAGAAGCGCTACAAAGAAAATCTTGACACGAGCATTGTGTCATGCATACAAGTTTGACCTTTTTTATTGGAAAATCTCAATGTAAACAAAATGGCATAGCAGTATACAAATTTAAATGTACAGAGTATAAATGCTGTTATTTCCTCACTGTTTCTGCAGTAGAAAATCATTTATAGGCTTCGAGGAAGTGTTGGTTGATGCACATACAGTATTTCAGTTAGTGGAAGGTATTAACTAGTAATTAACACAAAATCAATATGAAACTGAAAACCAAAGACAAGTGAAAATGTGCAGCTTGTTTAAACACGGGCACAGCAGATGAGTTTCTTTTCTAACGATGTAATACTTTCACTGAGTTCAGTTTTGTTCACGCGTGAGTGTTAGTGAAAATTATGAGAAGCAGTTAGTGGAATTTAAAGTGAAAAGATTTCCGATAGATAACTATGCATAACTGTCTCAAGAGTTCAGGCTGACAGAGTGAGGAATTAAATCAGATCGGTGATGTTTTTTTATTAATTCATTTTCTGAACCATAAAATTAGCCATAACATCTGAACTCTGCGAAGGAAAAAAAAAATCAGATACTATTGGTGTGCATCCATCCCTGTGTCTTTCAGGCTTGTCTGATTTTGGAAGGTGTGTAATTTTTGTCCACGGTCTCATCCTGCAAAAACATGTGAAGACAGCGTTCGTTTTGGGCCAGCGGGTGTCCAGCCACTCTGAAAGACAAACAGATTTTACACAATTAGTGTCTAAAATCTACAATTCAGCTCTGCACAATACACCGGCTGACAAAACCAAAAAAAACCCTACAATATATAACTACAAAAATACAGCATATGTATACACTTTTTAAAATAAAACCAACGAAACACAGAATGCATGCCACATAAATGTACAGTAGACTGTAATATTAATATTACTATTGATTGAAAGGTATATGTTTTGTGCCAAATCATAGAATAAAACATTTTAGCAAAACATTCCAGTCCAAAGATTGGGAATACTGATCAATTAAGCCAGTAATCTTTTTAGCTAAGGGAACTCTGGTCCTCTAGGCCTGAAGAAGACATGAATCCAAATGAATTGCTTTCTGAATGATCTTTAAATTACTTCCTTGATCAGATTCTGAAAAAAACTGGCACATGGTCTTTTGAGGAGGCCGTTTATACCCTGAAGCCTAGCAGATCTGAGCATTACAGTATGTCAGTGCACATGCGTCCTCCCAAAACTGAAATATCAAATGACACCTTGTCTTCTTTTTCACCAACCTTGGTCAGTCCCCTGAAGTGTTAAAATGCTTTATTCTGCCTTCTTCCATCCATTCAGCTGTTTATCAAGATGGCCATTCACAGATACTGAACTGCATCATTGACAGAGATCATAGCTCAAGAGCAAGCGATACTCCCTAAATAATCCCTTAGTGTTTTTATCATGTTTCATCAGGGCACAATACAGAACACAAACACAACACCAGCAATTAGGACAATTGTTGTCATTCTCTTTCGTTTAATCTATTTTCTTCCCCTTAACATAAACTATAGTATGAAATTCATCTTCGTTCTCACTTTTATCATCATTCCAAATGAGTGAGACACTGAATGCAGTGCTTAAAATGATGGCCTTAAAGCGGAAGACAATATTAAGCTGTAATGTTAAGCTGTACCTTTACAAAACATTTAATGGTACCTTTAGAAAATTGCAAATGGTTATAGACTGTCATAGACTTCTCTGCTATTAAGTCTGAACAATTACATGATCAACAATACCTTTTAATTCCCATATTTTTTTTTCTTAAATTACTAAACATTTCTACAGTTCTGTCTGCCAATTTACCAAGTTTTACAGATTAAAATTCAAATGGGTAGCTTTGCCACATTTGCACATGAAACAAAGATAATAGCAATGTCTGTAATCACAGCAAATAATTACAATTACAATATAACTTTTATTGTTCATGCAAAAAAAGGAACAACACCCTTGGATCAAAAATAAGCTGGGGTGCATACAACATTCTTCAAAGAATTAGGTACTGTAATTTCAGTAGTAATTAGCATAAATTACGTATGGAAAATAAAACAAATTTAAAACTCAGGTAGAATGCACTTGTGCCCTTTCCTCAATTTTAATCATTCTCAAGGTAATTATAAAAAGATACATTCTACATGACATGAATGATATATGCATTTGTTTGTTAACTGCAAGCAATTTCATTTGGAAAACTTGAAAAGTCCCCTTTTCTGCAACATGGAGGCTCATCAGGATATAGTCAAACAAATGTTTGTTTGTCCTTTCGAAACAACTGAAAAAAGTTTCATAAGTAGTTGCAGAAATCCGCACATTTTCATTCAACTCCACTATCTATCCAGATGGCAGAAAATTAGATGAAATAAAGCTGGGTCAACACATTTGATTTTGCATGCACAGTGCACTTTTAAAACTGATTTGATCTGGCTTCTCTGGGAAAGGATTCGAGCCTTGGCTCAAGCAGTGAAAGCTCTTGCCTGGTTGCAGGTGGAGCTCTCTGATCGCGGTTTTCGAGCCTGGGTCAGGTCTCTAGCCAACTGTGATTGGCACTTCTCTAGCCTGGGCTCTCTTTGCTTTCGGAGTCCCTGGGGCCTCCTGGGCACTGGAAGCGTAGGTGAAGCGCCCGAGACCCAGAACCTGCTGTACGGGGTAGTGTTGACGCAAGGCGTTTAAAAGAAGCTTGACTTGAAAGTGGGTGGGGAAGAGGAGTCCACCTACACTTCCTCATTCTTCTCCGTGTGCTGCTGTGGAGTTTACAGGCACGAGCACGGGATGTAAAATTGCTCAATTAGAGATCTCAAATCGGCTGGGTATGACAACGGAAAGCTGGCAATTCTAAATTAAAACCAATCTCGGAAAGAGCTATAAACTGACCTTTATAAAACAATCTTTGATTTACGGTAAACTGGGACATGGGAAAGAAACAAAATGGCAGAAATCACATCACAATGGAGTTTCCCCTGACTTACTTGTTTAGAAACTGCTCCAGCCCTTGCCTTCTCTCTTCTATGAAGGAGTCATCGAATATCCCATCATCTCCTCTGAATGGCAGCTGACGGAACAAAGCTTTCCCAGGTAAAGGAGGGACTACAACCTGAAGGAGGAAGGAGACAACAAACACTGTGAGGGAAGCAAAGTCGCAGTGATGAAGTTGCGGTCTGAACCCATCAGAAACATCCTTTGTGAAAACTTGGAAGACAAGTTAAGCTTAGGTAGGGACCATATAAAAATTGGGTTCACGATATAATGCGCTTTGATTTCATTTGACCATCGGACAGGCCAGCGATATGGGATCAAAATTGGTTTAGTAAGCAGTATTGGACCAGGCTTTACCTAGCCTACAAAATGATTATTGCCCTGCTTTGGAGGCTGTAGCTCAAATTTATGAAGGGCCATATCTCAGAAAAAGTATAACAGGGGAATGACATTCAGAGCAGCTTGTATCTTTTGGTTCATGGTATTTCAAGTCAATGAGCCCAATGTGTCTCAGGCACATTTCATGGTATCACAAGTACACAAAAACACAGAGGCCACTGGGTGTCTTCCTAGATTGCAAAGAAACCCAAGAACAGCACAGTATTCACTCTAATATTTTCCCTTACCAGAAGATCTGTTCCACAAGCTGCTATCACAAACACTCACTCTGTGGCACTCTGACAGAATTTGCCAGATGTGGGACAACCCACTGTGTTTCTCTATTTCTAGACATATTGCCAAACAACATACATAAATATATATTTTGGAAATACACAAGGGAAGTGAAATAATGTTAGGAAACTGAAACCCATCCATCCATGATCAAATTGCTATCACTCATTCCTGGTAAGACTACGACAAGATACAGCTGTCAGCTGTCACAAGTTGGTCAGAGTCATTGCAGTCTTAAACCAGTTTGTACAGTTGTTGTCCACTCTGAGCACAAGGTGACAAGAGGAGTCAAACAGGGATGTGTGCTGTCGCCAGTACTGTATGGCATGGCTATAATCTGGCTGGTACAACAGACATCAAATGGAAAACCCACAGGAATCACTCGGTTGAAAGGTAACCAGAAGACATAGATTTTGCCGATGACATAACTCTGCTCTGCAGCTCAGCCAGTGACTTGCAGAAGAACATGGCCAGATTAGCTCGACTTGGTCGACAGATAGCCCTTGTGACATCAGCGAAATAAATTCAAAACCATGATTATCAACATGCCTGCACAACGTCCACACATATATCTAAGCAGCCAAGATTTTGAAATTCCACCCAATTTCTCCTGCTCAGGCAGCCTCATCATGGACGACAATCACACTGAAGCTGAAATCAAGGTGCGGACTGGCAGAGCAGCAGCAACCTTGAACGGACTGCACAACGCAGCGAACAACAGAAAGATCTCGGCAAGCTCAAGTCGTGTCTATGCCCATAGCTATACGTCTGTTGTACAGTTATACCTGTTCTACCATACGGTATAGGGCAGAGAGCTGGGAAATAACAGCTTGTCAAAACAGACTGCTACAACTCTCTCCATGCCCATCCCATCTTACTTACCAAATGGCAGGACAAGCCCAACAGCCAGCTACTTCTCAAAACAATCTAGCAGAAGTGAAGACTGACTAGGTTTGATCATATTATAAGATTGGAAAACTGCAGAACTGCCAAACATGCGTTAAGGTGGACATCTACTCCAAACACAAAATGCTGTCCTGACAGGCCAAGAAATACCAAGACGCAGTAAACTGGGATGATATAATTAATGGAGTACCACAGTGATCTGGATTAATTTCTATGACCAATGTAGATTTTAAGATAGTGAAGCAGAGAAATTTCCAAATACCAGCATAGGAATCTGATGACTGTAGAAGCAACAGAGAAAATTCAAACAGGTTTAGAAAACTTTTTAATACAGTGCCAAAAAGCAGAAAATCATACACTATAAAGAAGAGATGGGAAACACTCAGCTCAAAACAATCTATGAAAAATACTTATGTTAAAGTATACACATTCATATTCTTGACACTATATAATGTATAGTATACACACTAAAGACTGTAATCTACCACACAACATTTAAACTAAGGGATGTTGAAATTGTGCAATGCTCTAGTACAGACCTCCTTAAGAATACTTTGTACAATTGTTGTCACTAAGATACAAAAATGTTACTGTTAGATACTGTTACCCTTGAACCAGTCCAGAGAGGCACAACATTTTTATGAAAACAATATTATGAACCTCTTAACAGGCTGAAAGACCAAAATCTTTTTTTTTTTAACAGAGAAAACTATTGGGAACAGGATTCAAATATTCAAAAAGCTAACCATACTGACATTTTCATAATCAACAGTGAAACATGAACCGGAGGACAAAAATGGTAACTATGGGGAAGTGAATTAAAAACTGACCATAGGAGGCACTTCTTCACACAAACAGCTGCAGGCAACCAGGACAAACGAGCTAGTGACGTGTTAAAAGTGATAACATCGCTCCTTTCAAAATATGGAAATCATTGGGTAACCTAGCCACTGAAAACAAAACCAACTGGTTTGACTGAATGGGCCCCTCCATTTTGAAAAATTTCGAATGTTCAAATCATTCTTGTTCATTGCTGACTGGGAGCAAATCTTGAATTATTGCAGATTTAACCTTCAAGAGGGGGGGATACACAAAAACATTGTTTGTTTCAATTTAGACGTATTGAATGATTGACCAAGCAAATCCAAGTGCAGTGTCCCAAGCAAGCATTATTAAGAATACTGGATTCCTGCCTTTTCCATATGATGGCATACAGCAGCGACTGTACTGTAGTGTAGTATGGTATCAAACTATGCTGTCAGATCTCAGGAGCAAAGCAAGGCTGGGCCTGGTCAGTACTCGTATGGGAGACCTCGAAGGGAAAATAGGATCCTACTGTAAGTGGTACTGGTGGACCAGTAGGTGGCGCTCTTACATCAGAACCAGAATATGGTGGTTAATAAGACATTGTGCTGTATGAGGCGACATCTAGATGTTAAAGTAGGGATGTCAATCCCAGTGTACATTTTAATAAAAACATAATTCCCCCTCAACACATGTCAAAACACAACAGATTAAAACAATGCAGTATGAAGGAAAGGCTGGGAAACCATTAAATGTAGGATTTACTCTCGGACATCAAACAGACCATGTATAGGTGCATATGGAGCTTAGAAAAGCAGGATTCTTGCACCAGCGCTAGGAATAGAACACAGTGATCACCACACAGCAAACAGGCATAACTAACGCCACAGTGCTGTGCCCAGGGACACTGGGCTGGAGAAGACGTCATCCTTCCAATGAGGTCATAGATCGAGGTCCTGACGACTGAGTCATTAAAGATTCTTTAAAGAATGAAGATTTTTTGTACAGATGCTTGTACAATAAGGCCTTCCTGAAGTTCTGCCTTTCCCTGATCTGCTGTGTGCTGCACTCTGGGACAGGATGAGCGAATCCTTTCCTATATATACAGTATAAAGTGTTTGGATCCTTAGCGATGGAAAGCACCACGTTCTGTATATGCAAGTAATCACAATCATTACTAATAAGCCTCTGGGATTGCAGCCAATTAAAGTGGAATTAATTACAGGAAAGATGACCTTCTTTATATAAACACCTTTGCATTTAATGATATGGGAAATGCGAATAGCTTACCTTGCTTTCTCTTTCCAGTTCATTCCTCAGCCATTCAAAGTCACTGTACCTTCTTCTCACCCGGGACTCCTTCAGCTTGAAAATGGGAAGATTGGTCTGTAAAAGAGACCGAAAACAAGGTTTTCATTTGGGAAAGTGCAAAAGGAAAGAGCCGACTGGAACAGCAGTTTGAGGTACAGGAATAGAACTAAAATATGAAATCATGTGAGAACTGCAAAGCGACTGAGGACACACCGTGTACGCAACACCCATACCAGATACACATGTACCTCTTGCCAAAGGGAGTTTTTCTGCATCAATCTCCCCCCACTGTCCTTCTTTTCCTTCTCTCTTACTCTGTTTTGCTTTATGGCCCAAGTCACCTTATTTTTTCAAAAAAATAAAGGGGAAAATGCATCTTTGATTTCAGAAATGAACAGAGCACTACCAAATTAAAAAGCAAAACATACTTGGCGGAGGCAATCTCTTACTCATAAGAAAAAGAAGCTAACAATCCGTGTTTATGGACACACCTGCAGCTCGAACAGGATTTTTGCGATACCCACGAGAGCCAAAATTCTAGAAAACCACTTTGCCAAGACCATCCGCATTCAGCTACTGCTCATGGCCTTGTGCAAAAATAAAATAAATAAATTAGTGCAGTAAACAAAATCATTATGAAGATTGTCTGGCATCAGAAAAGCCTGTATGACTTCTGACTCAAGTGGTTCTACAAGGGCCGCAGTGGGTCATACTTATGTCTAATATAATAAGTTAGTATATTGCCCTTGAAGTGTTTCCTTGGCAGCCTCATTTCTGTTTGTTGTAAAGAACATTGTGCTTTGCTCTTGCCCAAACTCAATTTAAAATGCATTTTAGAGGTAAGGCACATAAATTCTTTGCCTGAATTCATAATTGAAATACAATTTCACTGAACAACCAATTACCTTAAAGTCAGGTCTGTCGGGGGGGGGGGGGGAGAAACTTTTTTTTCACTTTGCAGCAGGATTCTGAGGAAAGACTTTAAAGGAAAACTCCCCCGGAGAGAAAGATTAGAACGCTCTGGAGCTAAGCTTTGGATTACTCTTTTATTTAATCTATTAGCTTTTTACCTGAGCTTGCCCTCCCTGGCTTTAAATATCTCTGTGTCTTTGTGAGCCCACAACGGCGTTAATAAACAGGTACAGTGCTGATCTTTTTTTGTTCAGGTGAGACGCTGCATGTGGAATTCTCTCCTCTGCAGTAACAGGAGACGCAGATTAGTGCGCTCTCTTTGTCCGGTGTGTTAGGATCAGGCTTGTGAATGGCTTTCACTCAGAGTTCTGTTACCTCAGCACGGAAGTTTATAAAGTTAATCCCTGAAACAATATATCATGGTTACAGGTAATAGGCCACTGAAGAGGCACTAATCCACTTCAGGGTGTCCAGAAATTCCCTCTCACACCCCCGTGACACTACCTCAGCAACTACACTGGAAGGTCTTTTCACACAAAACTATGGTATTTACAGTAGATAAAAATGGAAATGGTACAACAATCTAGCTTTTAGCTACCCACGGTAAAGGGTTTATTCTATGCCCGGGTTTGATTCAATGCAGGATAGAACTGGAAATCCTAGTCTATACACCAGTCGCACCTAAAGTAAAAAAAAGGACATATCTGACTAGGAAACTGCAGGCAGTTTCTCCTTTTAAACAAGTCAATACACATGAAGTGCAACATGAAACCCCGCATGAGCAAGAAAGCTCAAAATGCTTGGCAGAGGTTGAAAGGGGACTGCCACGGGTCCGCTTTTACCTTACCAGCGTGGGAGAGCCGTGAGTGAACTAAGGGGAAGCTAGAACAAACCTCACCGCACTCACTGGCCAACCAATTTTTTAACAAGAGGAGAGTGGCATTACAGGGTGCACTGGGGTGGTTCAGCGCGTCTGTCTAAAGCAGCGCTGCAACCTGTAGGTGCAGTTCTGAAGAGGTCTTGGCGTGATGAAACCAAGACAATTTGAATGTTGAAAGCTAAACTGCAGTTAAGTAGCCATCTTGGTTTGAGCAACAGCCTCATACTGATGTAAGTGAACTATACTGAATGGACTATGACGCATACCATGACTGGAATTAATGGGCCAAACAGCAGAGGTTTGTCTTACATGATGCATATCAACGAGAGAACATAACAGAGGACAGGCTGCCACCTTTCTTTATGTAGGAGCTCTGTTTCACTACATTTTTGCACCGCCTCTTGAGTGATATCTTCCAAATCTGGAGCGAGAGGACTTTTGTTGAAGAAGACCAACTAGCTCAGCATGGCTCGTTTCAACGAACTGGTCGTGACCTGCTGTGGGTGTATAAATTATCACTGGAGGCTTTGAGGTACAAGCGTGAAGCAGGCCTGGGTGTGAGTTAACCCACCAAGATTTAAGATAACCTGTGTCGTGGTTCACAAGCTCACTCATGAAGAAAACCACATTTACAATACTTTGTATCATTTTGGTCACAACATTACAAAAAAAGATGTTGCTGCTCAGAAGTATAATATACGAAGAGATCAACCATATACATTCCTGGCTATGACGAAATGTCCTATACTGATATGGCTGACACTCTGAATGCTGTTTCTTACAATTGTTTATGACTTGTTGCACATATATAAAGTACTGTACTAACTGTTCATCTGTCTCAGAAGAGCCGCTTACTACGGGGCTGCTTGGCTGCCTGGTCTTGTTAATTATGGTTTAAATCAAAATAATCCCAATTGATGAAAAGAAACTCATTAGTTTTTGTTTTTTACAGTCTGCCACACACATCTTTCAAATGTATAAAAACTTCACTTCGGAAATGAAGTCCTCAAGGTTTCCCACTTCACAAGTGAGGCGTATGCGGTGAGCACAAATGCCCGCACCAAGAGCACTCCAGGAAATGCAGGTCTACGGTCAGGCATCCATCCAGGAAGCAAGTCCTTCACTTTCAAAAACTTTCCCACTGAGGTAAGGTAAGGTCAGACTGAAAACAAACCTCACCTTACCCTCACTTTTCAGAGGGTACAGCACGAAAGGGAAGGGTGCTTTTTCCCAGCAAGCACACCTCTCTCTCTCACCCTAGCGCTAATCCCGCATCAGCGGGGTCCGCTTGTCTCCATTTGGTGGTTTGAACCAAATCTTTGAGCTGACGTTGCCATTAAATGCGACCGAGAAATACTCCAGCCGGCACGTCGCTCCGCCTGCCGTCAGAGTGGGGGGCGGGGGGAGGAGAACAAAGTAATGTAGCCAATTCATAGAGGGGGATTATAAGGAGGCCATGGTTGGTAAGGGCCAATGGGAAATTTGGCCAGGACGCCGTGGTTACACCACTATTCTTTTTGAGAAACACCCTGGGATTTTTAATGACCACAGAGAGTCAGGACCTCTGTTTTACATCTCATCCAAAAGACGGCGCTTGTTTTGCAGTATAGTGTCCCTGTCACTATACTGGGGCATTAGGACCCACATGGACCGCAGGGTGAGCGCCCCCTGCTGGCCCCACTAACAACTCTTCCAGCAGCAACCTTAGTTTTTCCCAGGAGGTCTCCCATCCAGGTCCTGACCAGGCTCACACCTGCTTAGCTTCAGTGGGCTGCCAGTTATAAGTTGCAGGGTGACATGGCTGCTGGCCTCCCAGCAAGCACACCTAAGGCCCATATTTCTTCCTCAGCTGTTTTACTCTGGCAATACAACCTCTACACCATCACAATACCATGGCCTCGTTCAGCAATGGGCACTAGCAGGCATTTCATCAACTCTTCCCTTGTCACTCACGTCTCATACTGGGTCCTCCTAGACCTGGAAAGTTCAATTAAGCACTATTTCTCATGTGTCTGCACAACTCTTTAACACACCCTTTTGGTTTAATTTCCATCCTAGATGTTTAGGAGTGTCTTCTTTTTAACTTGGCATTCCTTGACAATGCATTGAAATGGCAGCATGGCATGCAATATACAATATACAGTATACACCAGCGTGTAGCTCAGGGAGCAATTCGCCTTGCACTCCCTTCATCATTCTTCGTCACCTATATTCTTCTGCATGGTGCTTCCCCTACTGTCCTTCTCGTTCCCCATTTAAAAGAGCCAGATGCCACGTTATCAAGTTAACCATCCCAGACTTCCTTCTCTTTGCTCAATTACTTAGGCTTCTGAAAACCTTCCAACTTGAGAATGGAACATCGACTCTTTTCCAAAGGAAAAATGTTTTTAAGTCAGTCTGCACTGCACAGATCCTAAGGTCTCCTCCACCCTCAAACCCACTGACTGCTGCCATCGCATTTCCTTTGCGCCATTATAAAACTGCATTTTCCGCTTTGCGAATCTGTCAAGGTGTCTAGCATAAATGTCAGACAAAATAAACAATGACGCAAATAATAAAAGAATCCGGTTTCTAAACTGGACGCTCAATGGAATATTGAGTGACATGCAATGACTGTAAACACACGTATACGTCATTTAAATCTTTACTGAAAGATCTAACCTGACAAAAACATTGAAGGGCATGGACAAAAACGTAATCTTGAATACAGCGAAAAAAGCTCGAAACGTTTAGAAAAATGAAAGTGGAACTGCAATGCTATTTTTATATTTTGGGGTCAGAAAGAATCAGCCTTTGATGAGTGCATTTCAAACCAATAAAAGTAAAAGGTGCACAGTAACTTGTAAAATCTCCAATTTCCATCACAAAATAGACTACATTTCCAGGTTTGTGCAACGCCATGTTCTGCGATTCAGGATGAGCCAACAAAACGTCCGATGA